TATAACAACAACAACAGCAAAAACTTTCTAGTCTCTGGTCGACTAATCTGATGAGGCAATTTAATTTATTGCCCTTCTCATCCGCAAAAATCTCAAAGCATTTTCCATACACACAGTTTCATTCAAACCTTAAAAGGCAGAACCTAACACACGTCGACGAAAAACGTCGTTTAAAAAAAAGGATTTCCACTTTTTTCCAATTTGCCCCCGACTTTCGGTTACTATTCTCTCTTCTACTAACACGCATATATATAAAGTTAATCAAAATTATGTGAACATTATTATTATACAGTATTTTGCCATATTGTTCGTGCTTATCTCAGCCACACACTTCAAGGTCGATGGATAGGTGACGGTCGAGCTTTGCTTTGATCTCCCTAGTCCACTCATTTGACGACCTGTGATTTCTGATCATGAGGTCTAGTGAAGGAGAACAAGAGAGTTTGTGATATCAATTACCTGAAGGACAGAACGCGGACGTGGACTGTGGTGTTATTTATTTCATGTAAAATGAGGGTCCGGTTTAAAATACTGTTGTTGCTTGCTGTTTTGCCACTTGTATGTTGAACTTGATGGCGAACAGGTTGAAACCTTCCTGTAAGTAATCTTGTACATATGATGTATGTTTTACGAAGGTTTTCTACCATTTAATTGTTAACATAATTTTTACTAACCACACACACCTATATATATATATATATATATATATATATATATAGAGAGAGAGAGAGAGAGAGAGAGAGAGAGAGTCATCCACAGAGTGTTTCGCTGTATCACAGCTCATCAGTGAGTTTGCTTCAAGTCGGTATCGAAACTCGATTGATTTTATATCAGTCGTGGTCTCTGACCCTTAGGCTATCAGCGCACGCAGAGGAGAAAGGGAATTTTTAACGCATTATATACGAGATATAAGCATCACAGGCTACCAGAGTGCTCAATAGCGAAGAGCTTTTACCATTAATTACCAGCATCCGACGAATTCCCTTTCTTCCAAAGCGCCCAAACTATGTGAGAGGGCGTATATAGCCATCCACAGACAGACTGTTTCGCTATATCAAAACTCATCAGTGTGGCTTGACATGGGAAAAGCAGAATATCTGTCAGTCGTTGCATTTAAACAGAAAAAAAATTCAGTAAAGGATGGCTACACCTAGTTTTTTGCCTTACCAGTTGGAGCCATGATTACAGTGCATTTCTTGCATCAGTCAGTTATGTGCCATGCGTGATACACCCTTAGCCGATCATGTATCTTTCGATACATGACTGACGAGGCGGATTTTATTCCGCAATAGGTTGCCATTTCTTTCCCGGTAAGCCAGTTGCCATCCTGCTATTTACCCATAGCTGCTGATGGGGAGAAGAAGAGGGTTCATACCTTTCCCAAGGGTATTACCACGTAAGAATTCGAACTCGGTTCTCCGATTCCTCAATCCGAGCCGCTATCCATTATTCCACCGTTCATCCTTCTTCATCATTTAATTGTAAACATGGAAAAATATTCCTGAATATGAACGGATCATGATAAAAATAAGCAGACATAATGTTTGTAATTTATCTAATTTGCCTAAAAGCGAATTTGCTGCCTAATACACACACAGATACACACACACACACACACACACACACACACATATATATATATATATATATATATATATATATATATATATATGTAAAGAGAACAAGAGAGAAACAAATTAACACAGGCATCTATCACTACGCGCACCGCTTCTCCTCACTCACTCATAAAGACGCAGAATTATTTTCACCAGCGCAGATCACGAATTACGCACATCAACTGAGCAAGCACCGACATTGATAAAATATCAGGCTTATACTTTATTTCGAAGACAAGCGACTGACGTCACAAACAACTGTTTTTGTCAACAATTATTCCCACGGCGAAGAAACATGCCATCAACTCTACCCTAATCCATCCGGTTGACAACTAGCGACCGCCCACCCGCTCATAAAGCCTATCGTTTTCCCCACCTACAGAAATCACTGACCAAACCTTTCACGTTGCTTTATTCGAGAAAGGAGACAATATTTCTAATACTCTAGCACATGTTATATTGTTTTCCGACACCTTCCGAACGCACTTTCTCCCAGACCCCATTTTCCTGCTCATGTTTATCGCTGTCTCTCCTCGTCATGTTATTTCTTTCTTTTTGTTTTGTTTTACTTTTCTTCTACTATCTCAGATTTTGATAAAATTGTCAGTTTTTCTTTCTATTTCTTTTTTTTTTCCCCGCTTTCTTTCTTTATTCGTTCTGCTTTTTATTTGCCTGGCGTCCATAAGTGCGGACTAATTGCGCCTCGTCAGCTTTTCCTATTCGCTCTGAATACTTTTCTTCCCTTTTTTTTTCAAATATTTTTTTTTAATTCTATTATTTAGAAATTAAATCAGCTCGGATTTTCACTAAGTTTCTTTTTCATTATTTTTTAATTTATTTTGGAAGTATTTTTTTTTCGTAATTTACTTAATTTGTAACGTATATTGCGATTCCAGAAACACACTGAAAATACCACATACGAAGCATGTAAGCAAAGAGAATTTTTTTTAAGAAAAATGAAAGCAAAAAGAACAAAATTATATAAAATTAGAAAGAGACAGTTGAAATTTGTATCACGCATAGTGAGGAAAGAAAGCCTGGAAAATTTAACACTCACAATGAATGTAAGTTAGACAGGGGAAAGCATCAAGTAACCAACCTAAATCAGTCAGTCAGTTAATTTCCAGACGTGATACTTTGACGATCATGTATCTTTCGCTATATCATTGACGAGGCAGCTTTTTTTTCCCGCAGTAAGTTGCCAATACTTTCTGCGGTAGACTAGTTGCTAACCAAGGCTAAAGAACCTTTTCTGTACTTGCTATATTCAATCCATAGCTGAAAGGAAAAGAAATAGATTCATATCCTTACCAAGGGTATTTTCTCGTAATTGAATCTAACGAACACAACCGGAATTCGAACTCGGCGCCGATATCCATTACACAGCAACGCATATCCAATCGGCCTAACAAGCTGACGTAAATGGATCGGAGAATAAACGGAGCGAGGGAAGGTTAGTAAAAAAAAAATTTACTAAAAGCTACTAAGTAGAAGAATTAGTAGAGAGATATATTGTTGCTAGAGACACTGGCCGGTTGTTCAAAAGTGCGTAAAGCAAACGGAATAGTCTCGGGGGAGAGGTGATGCCTCCAGGTCAACACGGAAGTTTTGTTGTATATTTTGGTTCCCACCTGCTCGTGGAGGCAGGGGAGGCGGTCAAGACGAATGTTTAGACTGGGACCAAAAGAGTATACAATAAAAAAAGAGGATGGCAACCCCACAACGGTGTATTTATGGTTCCCGACGACAGCTGTTCTCTTACCCCATCCGAAGGCCGTTACCGACGGGAACCTATAAAAGGTGGACCAGCGCTATGGCCCCAATTAAGAGAGACATAGTTATTGCCGCCATGATAATAATAAAAAAAAACATTTCTAATAATGCACTCACATAATCTATATCTTTAGTGATTAGAAATTAATACAATTGCCAGTGAGTGAATAATGCTATAATATACATAATTTAAATGTACTGTATTACAAAGCATAGATTAGGTATGGCACAAGGCTAAAAGTGTGGATCAGCGACGTAATGTGGAAAATTTCTCACTGCTTTTATCGCAACTATCATGAAAAGTGCTCAGACGATCTGCATCTCCTGGTTCCACCTTCATGTCTAGAATCACCCATGCCACTTACGTAGTATCAAATCACCCACATTCCCTCCGTATTCCATCGGCGGGAAGTAAGCTCCACTCCAACAGCTTCTTCACATGAACCACTGCCCTGTGGAACCGACTCCCAAGAGGATGCTTCCCTGATCACTACATTCTTTACATGTCAAGTCTAGAGCCAACCGTTATCTTCCCTCTTCTATCCATATAAACGTAATTGAATTACATTTCTATTCTCAATAGGAGTAGATAGATTCGCCTATCACCCGGTTCACACTTCTCCCCGGTCTTTCGAACAGGAGTAGAGTTTTGTCCCTTGTCTTATATTTAGGGCTATTTTTCCGTTTCCTTATAAAATTTTTCTTCTCTTTCACTTCTGGTGCCACCCTTGGGTCTTGGTGACATTATCTCCTTGCATGGGATGGTGCCTCTTACGCTGTAACACTCTACCTCGAGTGGCTCTCCGGTCTTCTACAGAGTGAATATGATAATAAAAAAATCAGCTGTAGATGTGCACCCGAAGGAGAGAAGAATCAGCCAGCGGCGGCTCGGTAAACGGACGAATGACATGCCCTAAATAAGGAAATCGGCCTGCTCGTATTCCTCTTACAAACATTACAAGACCTTTGTATTCGTCTTCTCACAGACTACTTTTGTCTATCGTGTTATAATTTCTCTGTCTGGTACAAATTGTGATAAATATATGTATGTCTATATATAGCATTTTTATATGACACATTCGTATGTTCTGGTGTTCTATATAATCTTTTCTTTGTTATTTTTTTACGAGCTAGCAACCCTTTGAAATTATTTAAAGCTGGAAGATAATTTTTAGATTGCAAAAATTTTTAGAGATGATAATAATTTACTGATATAAGCTCTACTATTTAACCCATAGCTGGGGGCGAATAGGTAAATTTAAACCTAATCAAAATTTATATACATATACTGATTCCGAGCCGTTGACCATCACAGCATCCGTACATCCAAACTTACAGCACCTGGCATTCACAAATGGTCACCCATACAGGTACTGATCAAACTCGACGTTACTTAACCAGTTCTTGTACGATCACCGGTGTTTCAACATGATACGGCTGTAAAGCCTTTATACTACTCGCACATCCAAGCTTACAACACCTAACATTCACAAACGGTCACTCATCTAGGTACTGACCAGGCTCGACGTTGCTTAACTTCGGTGATCGTACTGGAATTGGTGTTTCAACATTATATGACTGTAAGACCTTTATACTACTTGCACACCGAAGCTTACAACACCTGTCATTCCCAAGCGGTCACCCGTCCAGGTACTGACCAGGCTCGACGTTGCTTAACTTCGGTGATCGTACTGGAATTGGTGTTTCAACATTATATGACTGTAAGACCTTTATACTACTTGCACACCTTACAACACCTGAAGCGGTCACTCGTCCAGGTACTGACCAGGCTCGACGTTGCTTAACTTCGGTGATCGTACTGGAATTGGTGTTTCAACATTATATGACTGTAAGTCACCGAAGCTTCAACACCTGTCATTAGGTACTGACCAGGCTCGACGTTGCTTAACTTCGGTGATCGTACTGGAATTGGTGTTTCAACATTATATGACTGTAAGACCTGACTTAAGACCTTTATACTACCTTGCACACCGAAACATTATATACTGTAAACACCTGTCATTCCCAAGCGGTCACCCGTCCAGGTACTGACCAGGCTCGACGTTGCTTAACTTCGGTGATCGTACTGGAATTGGTGTTTCAACATTATATGACTGTAAGACCTTTATACTACTTGCACACCGAAGCTTACAACACCTGTCATTCCCAAGCGGTCACCCGTCCAGGTACTGACCAGGCTCGACGTTGCTTAACTTCGGTGATCGTACTGGAATTGGTGTTTCAACATTATATGACTGTAAGACCTTTATACTACTTGCACACCGAAGCTTACAACACCTGTCATTCCCAAGCGGTCACCCGTCCAGGTACTGACCAGGCTCGACGTTGCTTAACTTCGGTGATCGTACTGGAATTGGTGTTTCAACATTATATGACTGTAAGACCTTTATACTACTTGCACACCGAAGCTTACAACACCTGTCATTCCCAAGCGGTCACCCGTCCAGGTACTGACCAGGCTCGACGTTGCTTAACTTCGGTGATCGTACTGGAATTGGTGTTTCAACATTATATGACTGTAAGACCTTTATACTACTTGCACACCGAAGCTTACAACACCTGTCATTCCCAAGCGGTCACCCGTCCAGGTACTGACCAGGCTCGACGTTGCTTAACTTCGGTGATCGTACTGGAATTGGTGTTTCAACATTATATGACTGTAAGACCTTTATACTACTTGCACACCGAAGCTTACAACACCTGTCATTCCCAAGCGGTCACCCGTCCAGGTACTGACCAGGCTCGACGTTGCTTAACTTCGGTGATCGTACTGGAATTGGTGTTTCAACATTATATGACTGTAAGACCTTTATACTACTTGCACACCGAAGCTTACAACACCTGTCATTCCCAAGCGGTCACCGTCCAGGTACTGACCAGGCTCGACGTTGCTTAACTTCGGTGATCGTACTGGAATTGGTGTTTCAACATTATATGACTGTAAGACCTTTATACTACTTGCACACCGAAGCTTACAACACCTGTCATTCCCAAGCGGTCACCCGTCCAGGTACTGACCAGGCTCGACGTTGCTTAACTTCGGTGATCGTACTGGAATTGGTGTTTCAACATTATATGACTGTAAGACCTTTTATACCTTTGAACTTACAACACCTTAAGCGGTCACCCGTCCAGGTACTGACCAGGCTCGACGTTGCTTAACTTCGGTGATCGTACTGGAATTGGTGTTTCAACATTATATGACTGTAAGACCTTTATACTACTTGCACACCGAAGCTTACAACACCTGTCATTCCCAAGCGGTCACCCGTCCAGGTACTGACCAGGCTCGACGTTGCTTAACTTCGGTGATCGTACTGGAATTGGTGTTTCAACATTATATGACTGTAAGACCTTTATACTACTTGCACACCGAAGCTTACAACACCTGTCATTCCCAAGCAGTCACCCGTCCAGGTACTGACCAGGCTCGATGTCATAAAATATTTTCATGCAAAATTCCCCTTTGGAATTAATTTCTGGGAGTTATTCTAGTTCTTCCTTCCGTTGTGTTAAAATGATGGTATATTTCAGATGTATTAATGCCTAATATGGGCCTTGGAGAATGAGGAAAATCAATAATGTTTTCTCTCTTTTCAAGCAACTCTATTACAAGCATTACTAACAGAATAAATCTATTACACACACCATATAAATGTTTCATTCTACCAAATATATTGAAAATCAAGAGATCGGAAAATGGTAGAAACTCCAGACTTAATAAATTCATATAAATAGATTTCTTCTTTTTTTTCTGCATACCACCATTACACCAGCTTTTTTTCGTTTAGACGAGATCAGGTCGAAAATGAAATACTCCTGACTCATCTTGTGGGAAGCTGCCAAGTCTTCACTTCAGTCCCGAGAGAGTCTCAAAGCATCTACACGGACTTGTGGGTGATTAATTATTTTTCAATCTACAATACCTTTCCTCTCGCTACTTTATTTCAACGGAAAGTGCTCAGACGAGCTACATTCCTAAGTTTAACCAGTTCTAAGCTTCACAGCTAAGACCCACTGGCAAACCACTTTAATTCACGTCGTATTCCACTTGAGCATTTTCTTTTCACGAACCGCTTCGTCGTGGAATCGATTCTTAAGAGGATGCTTCCTCGATCACTAACCAATAAGTACAAGGGCAGAATATTATTGTAAAAAAAAATATCTCCATTTTCCTCCTTAAATGATGCTTGATTTCAAGATCACATTGAAACCCCGTACGATCAGCGAAGTTAAGCAACGTCAAGCCTGATCATTAAGCGCTTTGGAATACCAGGATGTGCGGGTGGTGTAATAGATAATGGCTCGGAATTGTTAACTGGAGAATCGAATTCAAATTCCAGTTGGGTTCGTTATATTTACTTACACACAAAGATATGAATCCATAACTTCTCCTCCCAGCTTTGGGTTAATTAATAAGACTTGTATCATTAAATTATTATTATTTCCTCCCTCCAAAAAAATTCTTACAATCTAAAAATATTATCTGGCTTTAAATTTCCTGAAAAGGTTGGTGAACCGTAAAATAAAATTTATTGATTCTTCTTCCTCACTTTTTTCCCTTTTTTTTTCTATTTTCTCTCTATCTGAACGACTTAAGTCTAAATGTCGACTAGAATTGCCATGCTGGTGAGAATCTTTTAAGCTATAACTTAAACGTCATTGTTCAAATAAACTTTTTCCCTGGATTTTTTTGTAAGTTTCATAAGGCATGAAACAAAACAATGGCACCGCCTAGCAAATTGGTTAAAGCAAGGGACAACCAAAATATGACCTAGAGACTATAAAATACTTTCATTCCATGGATGAGAGTTGCTCTTTTTAAATGGTTTCTTAGAAGAATAAGACTCAAAGGAATCGTTAGCTATTCTTATTTTTTATACACTCTACTGGAAATTAATTGAACCACCTGCTTTAATTTCCTTTCTTTCACCAAACGGTCAGTTTTAGACCCACTGGAGTGACAGGGTGTAATGATTTCTATTTGTTTTCCTCAGATTAGGTCATTTGCAGTGGTTTGCAGTAATATGAATCTATTTCCGGAGGGTATGATGAAATTTGTTTGGCCTTGAAAAATATTGCGTCATCCATGATTGCATTAGATTTTTATCACACTCAGACACTATTGTCTCGACTATCGATTAGTTGTCCTACGGCTATTTTCTACGATGAACATTACTCCAAGGAAGCGTATGAAAATTGTAACGCTGCACGAACACACAAGCCTTACCAGTGAGCAAATCAAAGTACTATCGACTGGCTCGGAAACTCTCCTGATTTAAATCCAATCGAGAATCTGTGCTCAATCTGCAAGGAACGACTTTGTGGTATGAATATACAAAGTACGAACACGTGCACTGGTTCATGTTGCATTGGAAAATTTGTTTTATTTGTTTAACGGCATATCAACAACTGATCTATCATTTACTACCAAAATTTACTTTTCTTGTGTGCATTAGTAATTTGGTTTACAAAAATATTTTGCTAGAATTTTTTCTTTTAGAAAATGTATTCCTGAATTTTTTTTTTCATTACAAAAATTCATTGTTAGCACGTCTACAACAAAAATATATTTTTATAATTTCATAGTGTTTTGAGCCCAGTTTGGGGGTTAGCTATTTGCCCAAATCTGGGACCGCTTTTTAGGCTGATCCCAGATCTGAGCAAATAGCTAACCGGGTTAGGGTTATATAAAACGTAAATTCTCTTACATATTTAGACTCGGAAAGTGACAGTTGAAAATAAGAAAAAGACTGCTTTGAGTATTTGATACTCACAAGGACATATAAAAAAAGACTTGATACTCATCGGCCAGAGTCAAGGTAAGACAGACGGAAACACGGATTAACCTACATAACGAGCTTTTTAAATAGACTAGATTTTTTGGCAAGACGCTGAAGTGCTTTGAAATCATCACAGTATGTGATATTAGAAGTTATCGCTAACATTTTTGTCGAGATTTATAAACTCTACTCTACTTTATATATATATATATATATATATATATATATATATATATATATATATATATAAATTAAAAGAAAAGATGAGCAATAACGAATATTGCTTTTTTATCAGATAAGTATTTTTTTTTTATTTTGACGATTAAATTGTTTTTAAAAGAATGGTTGTATTTTATACAGAGTGGTCCAAAAGTCCTGTCATCCATACATAGTATAACTTTCAGATGACTGACGCGAGCTCCCATAGTTTTGATCCGAGCTCTTACAGTGTGATAGCGTCAATGAAATTGAATAAACTGAATCCAGTACATGTGCTTTGTATTACTGTATTACCTGTTCTTCTATTGTTCTCATTACATTTCGGTAGAGGGTGACAAAACTTTCGGATCTCCCTCTATGTTAAATAATAAAACCTTTAATATTTAAAAAAAAAAACTTAATGAAAATTTATTGTTACGCACCCTAGTAAAACCAGGTGTATTTTGTACCCCTTTACCCAAATTCTCCCCCAAATTTGGTTTCAATCGGCCAATATATGGCTATTTTAGACGATGTGAAGGATAGACAGACGGACGGACTAACATAAGTTACAGAATTTTATATATAGATAGCTAAACAGGGAGTGGGGGGATAGTTGGGAGACAAACACTGCTTCGTGCTATAAAAGTTGTAAAGAGCAATGTTCTGATGAGACATAACACATTAAATAAAAATAAGCATGCTGTACCAAATAAAAACTGTACACTGGGAAATATTTTAATCCTGTCGACACTCAGATTTTATGTAGTAGCGTGCACCCTCCAGTTTGATCTTTTCTCATCGACCTAGAGCTATATATTTTTAACCAAAAACTACTAATATTTCTTGAGGTATAATGATATGCAGATTTCTTTTAGACTCTTACAGTGTTTAGTAACCCCAATATGATTTGGGTTCACCCTAAGAGATACCAACTTAATGTTTAAATTCGATGTCTATTCAGAATGTTAAAGGGGATAGGTACTTCGTGGGTTGGCATAGACAGTAATCTCATATCTACCAAATGCAGAATCGAGACTTAAATAATGTTGGCGCGTGCATTAGGGTGACCAACCCGTCTTATTCCATGGCTACATGTCCAGAGCTGTAGATCACTCACAAGTTTACGTTTTGCACGCCACCAGTGTCCTGCAAAGTGCTTTCTGTGTTCGCTTGTAGAAACATGAGGGATGGGTCCATAGAGCTGTGATTTAGTTGGATGTCGTCTCTAGCAGATGTTAAGTATAGCTGTCAGCATCCGAGTGTAGATTCCATCAAGCTTAGACTCCAGGCTTTTAGTCAATGTTCATAACAGTAGTAGAATCCCCGCTTGAGGTTGTCTCGTAGAGCAGATTTCTAGATTACAGCCATTTTTATTCAAGGCGGACCAGACTTTAGCGACGTGAATTTTCATATCCTTTTCAGTAGGATTTATTTCGCTTCCAAAATATATAACAGATTCGGCTGAATTTATTGATTCACCTGAGACAGTATCTGTTGAGCCTTGCTGATTAAAGCTTTGAAAACTCTATTTACATTATTCGGACCATTGTTCTCATCTTTCTTGATGACAAATGCTGCTAACGATATTGGACTGTATTCTAATGCTTCTAAAACTCTCTATATTTCTGAGATTAGGTATTATATACACTATTTACATTATTCGGACTATTGTCCTCATCTTTGTCGCCATATTTATTACAGCGTTTCTGCCTTTCAGTATTTGTCTGTATTTCTGAGATGAGGTATTATGTACACTATTTACATTATTCGGACTATTATCCTCATCTTTGTCGCCATATTTATTACAACTTTTCGGTCGTTGTACGCTCCGGCCTTCTTCAGTTGGTTAGAATGTCGAACTGAACCCTTTATTTCGCTCGCCGGGGTAGACTGTTCTAGTCCCACGTGTCATGTCTAATGGATGTCAGTTATCAGTTATCTGCTGTTAATTCACCTCTACAAGTTCTGCCACTGCCTTAACCACTGTACGGTGTAAACACATGGCACAGTGGATAAAGGCGTTGGTTAGATCCAGTGACAGGACCCAAAAATACCTGGCAACGGTACTCCATTTTCGGCCTGATCTGGCTCTTATAAAGGTAGAGAATAGCAGAAGTAGTCAGGTACTTACTGGAGCGGTATAGGAGTTGGGGCGATAATTTTACCTGCATCTCAAGGAATGGAATCTCATCGAGAGGATATCCGTTCATTGTGACTGGCGGTTGTTCGAGGTCTAATCGGCGATGTTAAATGTAACCAGCCAGTTCTTTCCCTAATGGGAAGTTAGTGTTAGATAGGAAGAGAGGTCAGTTGCCAGTCTCTGGTCGTCAAGTGTCTTAGAGGTGAGCACGTATATCGTCGTATCATCGGCATAGATGTTTACAAAGGATCGGAGTATATTCTTAGGCAGATCATTTATGTAAATCAGAAAGAGGGTTGGTCTGAGAAGTGACGCCTGTGTTGACCGACAGGGCCTCGGGGGACTGGCCGTTAATAACTACCTTTAAGGACCTATCTGTCAGGAAGAATTTTATAATTGAGAAAACCCTTCCAGTGATTCCATCGCTGGAGTGCTTGGGTATAAGTGGAAAGAAAGAATATTACAGAATAAATAAAATAAAATAAAAATAGTCAACAGAAATAGTGAGAGAAAGAGAAAGGTTGGAGGGTGAAAAATAATTTCCAACAAAATGTCGGCGACGCTTTTGAATTCTATCAAAACTGAAAAGGCAGATCGTTTATGTAAATCAGGAAGAAGGTTGGTCAAGTCATTGGATTACTTCAACCAACGCGTTTATCCATTGGGCCATATCCACAAGGATACATGGTGTAGTGGATAAAAGTGGATTGGTTGACACAACAAGTTGTGAGTTCAATACCTGGCCACAGCCGAGGTGAACAAAAACTGAAACTGAAATATCCGGAAGTGGCATGGCAAGTGAAAATAGAACAATTTAGTAGAGTGGACGAAATTCCAGTCATCTGAAGAAGGCTGGAGCGTACCACGACTGAAAAGTTGCGAATGTGACAACAAAGACGAGGGCAATAGTCCGAACAGTGTAAATAGATTGCCACATCTCAGAAATATAGACAAAAACCTTTATTTGGCTTGAAAAATCTTGACATTATTTTTAGCACCCACCAGTTTTCAATGAATCTTTTTACAAAAGGTTCACACTTCGATTCTTCCATCAGGTCTTTATTTAATAATAATAAAATACAGACGAATGAATTTCAAAATTGAACCGGATAATCGCAAATTCGTTTTTTTTTTTTTGGTTTTGTTTTTTTTTTAAAAATAAATTAATAAATATTAAGTGTATATTTTTTCTATCCAACCTGAAAGAAAATAACGGTTTGTTTTGTTTGTTTTTTTTTAAATTATGCAAACAATAGCTGTCAGAAAAAAATTATTTTTAGATTGAATTATTTTGTGCAGGATTCCCGACGATTTTTCTGTATATTCATACTTGATATTGCATCATTATTTTACTGAAATAATATCTTCCGGGATTTTTGTATGGAACCGCAAAAAAAAAAAAAAATTCTAAAACAAAAGACACAAAAAATATTTCCAAAGTTTTTTTTATTATTATTAAAATAACCTAGCCAGTATATTCACTAATGAATAAGTCCTGAATTTTTTATTTGAATCGGATAATTCCCTGATTTTTTGGCGTGTCTATTTAAAATGAAATTTTTTATGGTCGTCAACGACACCTCAAACACCACCCACCGATGGGTAATGTGTGTGGGAATGGAGAGTGAACGTTCATATGCAAACCTTACCCCCAATATCTCTCTCCCCAACTCCCTGCAAGAGTAAGGAAAATTCAATCAAACGCTCAAAATGTCACCAAGTCACCCAGAAAGACTCAGCTCTTAGAAAATTCTTTAAAAACCCAAATAATCGACAAAAAGAACTTTTAGCACATAAAGATAAAATGTTATTCCAATAATTAAATACATCTGTTGAAAGTTAAAATAACATTTAGTAGAAAATAGACTGAAAACAACCACAAATAAAGGAAGAAAAAAAGTTATCAATAAAGTGATAGGTTTGGTTTGGTTTGTTTTACGGCATATCAATCTCAATGGGTTATTTAATGCCGACAAATTTTAATACTGGTATTTTTTTCTAAAAATGTATTGCTGATATTATTTTTTTTCAAAATTGTATTGCTGTTCATAATGTATTGCTGGTAATAATTTTTCTTAAAAAATTTATTGCTGGTAGTAATTTTTACAAAGTATTCTGGTATTGAAAACGTATTTTTACATTTTCATAGTTTTGACCACAATTTGGGGGTTAGCTATTAACCCATAGCTGGGACCCTTACAGGTGCTACCACCCCGGGTCAGGATGGATCTGGGAACACCAGCAATTAAGAGGTGGTTCCACACTCCTCAAAACCTCCTGATCAGAGGCCTTGCTGTTGGACGTAGTTTATCGTCATACCCAGGACGCGGATGTAGTTTATCGTCATACCCAGAACGCGGATGCAGTCTTCGTCATACCCAGGACGCGGCTATAGTTTATCGTCATACCCAGGACGGTAAAGTGATAGAGTTTTGTAGAATTACTTGCGTGTGAAGTTAAAACTGAATTCGGTTGTTCTTTTCATTTTGACTGAGCAATTTGCCTGGCAATAGTGAGACTTGGTTTTCTTGGTGTTTTTAAATGACTGTTTGCAATCTTCCCGGGTGGGGAGGAAACATTATTCTACGTGGCCTGGTCGCTTGGGGATCCAGAACATTTGTCTAAGGAATATTGGTCTAAGGAATGCTCGTCTAAGGAATATACATCTAAGAAATATTCGTCTAGAGAAATATAGTCTAATGTGGGTTGTATTAAAATACAAAGAATGTACGCCAATAAATGCTTATAAACCAAATGTATCATCAGGAATTAATGTTGCTATAAGTGTCTTAAATATTACTCTGTAATATAGTGATATACTAATAAAATTTTGTACATGAATAAAGTGTTAATTTATTAAAAAATATAATAGACCAATATCCTTAGACTGCTATTCTATAGACAAATGTCCTTAGACGAGTATTTCTTAGACAGTTTTCCTTTAGACCAATATTCTTGAGACTAATATTCGACGCTATTACACTTTCGCTCCCCGCCATGACACTGTCAGCCACACAATGTTTTTTGTCTTCAGTTCTTTTTAGTCTAAAAAACAAATACAAATGGATTTCCCTTTTTTCCTAATATTTGTTTCATAATTTGTGGATTTTAATTTCATTTCTTTATCTTTCTGACTTAGAAACTTTTGACAGCAGAAACACATTTCCTACAGAAACTTTTTAAAATCCTTGCTCAGTCAGTTACGTGCTATGCGTGATAGACGCTTAGGCGATCATGTACCTTTCGATACATAACTGACGAGGCAGATTTTTTTCCCGCAGTAGGTAGCCATTTCTTTCTGCGGTAGACCAAGTTCCATATAAGGCTATAGAACCCGGTTTGCCCTGCTATTTACCCATAGCTAGGGGGAGAAGAAGAGGGTATTAGCACGTAAGAATTCGAACTCGGCTCTCCGATTCCTCAATCCGAGCTGCTATCCATTACTCTAACGTGCCTCCTAGCGTTTCTAATTTAAATTTAATTATTAATAATTGCAGCAGTTCAACTGTTGTTATTTTAAATTAATTTTATGAAGTTAAACTTTAAAAAAAAACTGTTTTTCTCTAAAATAAAAGCGTTTTTAATCATTAGGCTAGAAATTTATCGTGTTACTTACCGACACTAATTTTAGATTTAGTTAGAAACAAATAGGTATCTGATGGAACATCAACACGAAAGGAATGTGGCACAAAGACTTAATTTAAAGTGTAAATCCCACGTGTACATTAGACGATGGACAAAAATTAGTCAAGGCCACTAGGAATTTCCCCTTTGAGGGCGCTTCAGTGCCAGAGATTAACCCGAATTTGACTGGAGAAGAATGGCTTTCTCAATGCATAATTCTATTTATTTTTTTTTACGTTATAGGGTTCTAGCATAAAATACCAAGAGAAGTATGTGATTCCAGTTTGTGTTAAAAACCAGTACTTCAAACCATGGAGTTATTTACCCAAGTCTCCCCACTGAAACGGGACATGACACAAGGGCGGGAAAAAGACAAAAATTGTCCAGTTCCCGCAACCGCTGGTTGCACTGACAATGGTATAACTACCGAAGCCCATCCCGGTCAAAATACATTATTATATTATATTATTTTACCCAGCATACGGCAAATCATGGATGTTACCGGAGTTCAACCGCTGTTTACCTCAGTCAATAAGATCCTAATTCAAGCGTTAAGTCAGCCAATGACTAATGAATATGTAGATTTTCTTTCTTTTTTTTTTCTTTTCTCTCTCTTTATTTTGTTCTTTTTCTCTTTCACTCTGTTTTGTCTTTTCCTCTTCTATCCCTTTCCTCTGTTCCTTTTCGCTGTCTTTTATGTGTTTCTTTCCTTCTTATTCTTCTCTTTCCACTCGACTTTTTTTTATATTTATTTAATCTCTCTCACTTTCTTCTTTTTCTTCTTCATTCTCTTTTTCCCCCTTTTTTTTTCTTTTATTATCAACCCTCTTTCATTTGTCTCTTTGCTATCATTCTCTCTCTCTCTCTCTCTCTCTCTCTCTCTCTCTCTCTCTCTCTCTCTCTATCTTCACTAGTCTCTTTCCCTCACTTCGTTTTATTTCCTTTCTTTATTCACTTTCTCTTTTATTCTCTCTCACTCTTTGTTGGTCTTTCTTTCTTTTCTAATGTTCTTTTATTTTTCTTTGCCTATCCACACACAGACAGACACTCTCTCTCTCATCTATCTATCTATCTATCTATCTATCTATCTATCTATCTATCTATCTATCTCAATCTGTTCATCTATCTATCTATCTATCTATCTATCTCAATCTGTTTATCTATCTATCTATCTATCTATCTATCTATCTATCTATCTATCTATCTATCTATCTCAATCTGTTCATCTATCTATCTATCTATCTCAATCTGTTCATCTATCTATCTATCTATCTATCTATCTATCTCATTTTTACTCACTTCCGCGTTTTTTTTTTCTTTTATTCTCCTCCATATTTTATCGATATTCAATTTTTAAAATCTTTCTTCATTTTTCCTCGCTTTCTTTCTTTCTTCCTTACTTTCTTTCTTTCTTCCTTTTTTTTCTTCTTTTTCATTTTCAATAGCACCTCCCCGTTGTCTGTCAGCTGCTGTGCAACTTTCACATTTTTTCTCTTTCCCATTCTCTATTGTTATTCTTTCTAAAACATTATCTTTCTACTTTCTCTTTCTTTCGTCCTTCTTTCCCTGCACCCCGTCTCCACGTCTCTCCTTCTCCTTTTTTAACAGATATTTTCATTACGTTTTTTTTCTCCCTTTTCATCTTTTCAACTTTATATTTTAAGACCATCGCTTTCTAAACCTTGCATTTCGTTTTTTTTTTCTGCTATTCTACACTTTCTTTTTTTTCTTCATTTCTTACCTTCTTTCTTTCTTTCACCCTTTCTTCCATTCTTTCTTTCTTTTTCTTTCCTTACTTTCTTTTGTCTTTTTTCCTATCTTACCTTCTTACTTTCTTCCTTTTTCCTTTCTTTATTAATTTCTTTTTCCTTCCTTTCTTTATTAATTTCTTTTTCCTTCCTTTTTTTATTTCTCTTTCCTTCCGTTCTACCTTACTTTCCTTTTTCTTTCTTTCTTTCTTTCCTTCATTCCTTCATTCATTTTTCTTGTCTTTCTTTTTCTTTTCTTTCTTTACCCTTCCTTCCTTTCTTGCTTAATTTTTCCTTCCTTTCTTCTTTCCACCCTTTTTCTTTTCTTCATTTCTTTCTTTCTCTTTACATATCTATTTATCTATATATATATTTCTTTTCTTTTTATTATTTTTTTTTCATTTGTTATCCGTTCTTTAATTTATCTCATTATGTTTCTAACATCTTTCATTTCATATCTCTTTTATTATATTTCATATCTCTTTTATTATATTTCATATCTCTTTTATTATATTTCTTTGCATTTTCTTTTTTATCGTCCTGTCTTTATTCTATCTATCTCAATCTCTCTATCTATCTATTTCAGTCTATTCTTAGCTATCTATCTATTTCAATATATTCTTAGCCATCTATCTATCTATCTATCTATCTATCTATCTATCTATCTATCTATCTCCATCCATTCCTATCTTTCTATATTTTCATTCTCTTCACATATAATAGCTATCTATTTCAGTCGGTCTGTCTGCCTGTCTGTCTGTCTATCTATCTATCTATCTCAATCTATGTATCTATCTATTTCAGTCTAATCTTAGCTATCTATCTATTTCAGTCTATTCTTAGCTATCTATCTATCTATCTATCTATCTATCTATCTATCTATCTATCTCACTCGGTTCTTATCTATCTATCTATCTATCTATCTATCAATTCATATTTTTCATTCTGTTCACATATAATATCTAACTATTTCAGTCTGGACATATCTATCTATCTATCTATCTATCTATATAAATCTATTCTTATCTCTCTATCTATCTATTTTTTTATTTTTTTTATTTCAGCCGTCTTTTACATTCTGCCCACTCCTCCTTCTTCAATCAGCTTTTCTTTCCTCTTCTCCCTGCCATTACAGCACATAATTCATAATGACCTCCTCGGCACACACAGCAATCAAGCCAGTATCACGTGGTTTCTTTTAACCAATCTTTTCCCTGCTTTAACTTGTTTCTATTTTTTTTTAGTACTTACCCTCCCCCCGTCCCCCTCAACCCAGAAGCGGACATTAAAAAAAAAGAAAAGAAAAGAAAGGAAGAAACAGGTGGTGGGAATTTATATGGATTTGGGTTAAAACAGAAGATTCCTGCTTTCCGTTTTTCTCTTTCTTTTTTCTGTTTGTACTTTTCAGCTTGAGTTACCACCAACTTGCTGAGCTTGAAGATCGTGTTTGGAGAAAAGGCTGGAGGGTGTTAGTTCAGACCGTTTACGTCAAAGTTTTCAATTTAATGACGTCAGATCATTTGTTGCGCGGATCGTCTTCGACCCACAAACACTTTTGACGTAACCCTAACCCTAACACAATGAAAGTTTTTTTTGTTTTTTTTTATTATGCATGACAATGTTTTCACAATAAAACTGGTGTTAAACAACAAATGCCATGCTTATTTTTATCAAGTTTACAAAAAAAAAAAAACGGCACGAGGCCGAAAAATAAGAGGTAGATATCTGTCTTCACTATCTTGTCATTAACTTTACTCGTTACATTTGCAGATACAATCTCTCCTTTCCACATACACCCCCCCAAAAAAAACGAAATAAAATTTGACCGATATTTACTATTCAGATGACCTTGCAGACACCATTACCAATTCCACAGCTCTCCTACATCATCCAGAAAGCGCTGCTAACGATGCTGGATTCTGAATTTATAATCTTCAACCAATACGGCTCAATAAAAACTATCACAGGAGGATCGATAAAATCTGTCGAATCTTTTACATACCGAAAAAGCGAAATAAATTCTGCCGAAAAAAATATTGCATCGCTAAAGCCTGGGTCGCTTTGAATAAAAGTGGATGTAATCTACAAACTTGATCTATCAGACAACCTCAAGCGGATATTCTTTCGAGCCACTGTAGAGGCGGTTTTAATATATGGTGCCACTGCTTATACATGAACTAAAACTCAAGAATCCAAGCTTGATGGAACCTACACACGGATGCCGTTAATTATACTTAATATCTCTTGGGGACAACATCCGAGTAAATGACAGCTCTGTGGATTCATCCCTAATATTTCTACAATGTTACGCGAACGCAGTATGCTCTTAGCAAGACACTTCCCTGGACAACTAGCTATGTTGCAAGATGCGTTGGTCGCCCAACAACTACCTACACTGACCAACTCTCTAGAAAAACAGGATGTCAACCTAATGATATTTCGACCTTGATGCTGTACCGTGATGGTTGGCGTGATAGACTCATGAATCACCGAGCTAAATCGTTTGAATAAAAAAAAATCATGCGAATAAGGGAATAAAACTGATCGCTGTTACGGTTGTTCCTCTTATAAGGCCTAAGATCCCCTCAAGCTAAAGGGTTACAGAATGAGGTTGTTGAAAGTACATAGCGGTTGACTCGTGACATGAGGTTAAGATTGCAGTGATGAGGTAATATCTGAGTAACTATATGTTCTCGGCAAACGAAATTAAATAGGTTTCATGTTGAACAATAAAAGATTTATTTATCAAAATACAAACAACATATTTAAAAGGGATTTAGACTTTATAACGGATTTCATAAAGCTTCACAAATATTCAATATGCACACCACCTGTGACATGACACGCGTTAAGTTGGTAGTCCAGTTGCTACCAAGCACGTTGTAGCACATCTTGCGTAACATGCTCCAACGCCTTTGAATTGTTTGTGTCATATCCAAATCTTCTTTAGAGTTGGTGCCTTTTTTCTTAAATTTTCTCGAAAATGCACGCTGCACACTTTTCTTTGATTGTGATCTAACACAAAATGCCTTTTCAGTTCTGGTGAACATGATTTTTAAACCTGAAAAAAGAAAAACATTATTTGAGCAAAAATTAGCGATGTTATTAAACTATAAAATGATTTCAGTTTTGGGGTACACCATGTATACTTTGGCCTTTGAACTCTCGGGTAAACTTAAGTCCCAGTCGAGGTTCAAATCAAGCGGTCTCAGGGAGATTACAAACGTTCATCGTGACAGGATACATTTTTTCTACTCGGTGAGGTTGGTTATCGTTCGATATCGTTCAGAAGTTAAGCAGTATCAAGCCCTGTCATTACTTAGTGTTGTAGAATGGTTTCACAGTGGAGGCCTGTATTTGTACTAAGTCGGTCCTAAAATAGGTTCGGCGTACAAAACGTTAGGAACTTGATATAATAGGTATAACGCAGAATAATCTAGTTGCGGTCGCTGATACATTAGTATTCGACTAACGGTCGTCCGACATCGACTGACTGACCAACTCACTGAGCGACTGACTTGTTACTCTTACTACTCCTACTTATTATAGGAGGGAGAGTCTATTAACTATAGAATAGGTGTGTTCCACTATAACACTTACATCTGAGGAGGCCGCTTCAAAAGACCAGCTAATGTATGTAACCTCTGACAATTCTAAATATTTTTAATAAGGGTCGATAAACTGTAAAAAACAAAGATCAGTCAATTAATCAACTGCTCAGTGATGATGAAACGTGACTCGATTTTGGATGTATGAAATGATACAAGTCACTTTTCCCCATTGAGTTATTTGAGCTAAATCAGAAATGAGATTAGATGCTAAATAATGGAGCAGACTTTAAATGAAACGGAATATATTTAGCGAAATGCATGTGACTCCACCGGCATTAAACAGGGTAATATATATATATTAAATATATATATATATATATATATATATATATATATATATATATATATATATATATATATATATATATATATATATAATGAAATGAACAAAATCTGACAATTATTTTAAGGCATTTTATGTTTATACATTCTTCCGTAATGTGACGTAAAAGCAGTTAAATCGACATTGCCAATCGAACGATTCTCCGTGGCTCGATGGGTTAAGGCACGTCAGGCTAAATGTCGTGTTCCGTATAGGATACAGGTTCGATTCCTGTCGGAGAACGAATATTTTCTATGAAAATTTCTCAGACATTCAGGCCTGTAAATGTTATTAATAGTGTTTATTGTAAAACAGGGCATTTACTTAAAATATTTATAGCTATAAAAAGAATGTCTAAACATAAAAGTGTTTATATATATATATATATATATAAAAATGGATTCGACTGGAATTCGAACTCGGCTCTGCGATTCCTCAATCCAAGCCGCTATCCATTACTCCACCCTGCCTCCTATAACTTACGTGCTAATACCCTTGGGAAAGGTATGAATCCTCTTCCTCTCCCTCCAGCTATGGGTAAAATAGCAGGACAGACTGGGTTCTATAGCCTTGGATGGCAACTGGTCTAGGAGAAGAACAACTCTGAATTCAAAACCTGCGGAGGGTCATTTGGGGACCTTGTGGCACTTAGTGCACCAGGTCTCTGTATTCGGCCCTTCAAAAAGTGTGGCTGGTCCTGCACGAAACCTTCACCACTATAATCAAATCTCATGTGCTGTTGCCGGGCTGTCGGTTTCCTGGAAACTGATCTGCTTGACCCTCTTACGTCGAAGTTCGACGGGAGAGTCGACTATATATATATATATATATATATATATATATATATATATATATATATAAGAAAATCCGAAGCAACCGATCAAAAAAGTAAAACTAAAAATAAAGTGAAACATTTCTATATCATTGGAGAATTTAGAAGAAAAGCGAGAATCAGTAATACGGAAAAATAGAAAAAAATTAAAAAAAACACAACTAATCATACATTCCCCTGCTAAGCTAAACTAACCTTAACAAAAGTTTTAAAAAACTAGTCTCCCTTATCTAGATGGATCCACAAACACAAAAATACCTTAAACATTCACTTCAAGATGCTAGAACAAGTATGTGGGGTATTCACTCACATCATACGAGCAGAAATTAGCCTTGTATTCATAGAGATAAAAACATACTTGACAACAAATAATATTTACACAAATAACAGGAAAACCACTGAAAATTTTATGCTAATTTCATAGAATTTATTTATAATTTTCGTGTATTGGTGTATGCATTTTTTAGATTACAATTGTTTTATGGTACATGTGATAAAAGGGAGAAATCTACTCCGTAGAATTACAAGCCATATCACAGAGAGAAGTCGGACACGTGTTGCCCGTACCAAGGTTCATGGTGATGAGTTTGAATTTAACGTCTTTTGGCGGGATGTCCTTATCTCCGACAGGAATAGTTTTTGTTGCATGCTGGGAGTAATTTTTATTATTTTTTTTTATTTTTATTTTATACAACTTTATGTTATTGTTTTATATTTTTTGTAATTTTCATTATTATTATTTTATTATTATTATTATTAATAATAATAATAATAATAATAATAATAATAATAATATCCCTACAAGTATACAAGTGACACGACACAATGGGACAACGTTTACCCACCTTTCACAAAATTCTGACCAAAACGGTATCTCTCTTCTCACCTTGATCTTAATTTTAAGGTATGTGAAGAATGCGATAAAATTATTCATTCATTTCACCATCACACATTACGATTTCTTAGTTTTAGTGACTGGTCCACATTGCTACCAAAATAACTGCCTTCAAAGGCAAAAAAATGTTTCCGTCAAATACATGAAATATGTAGCCGACATCACGGGTGTAGGGGCGAGAAGAGAAAGAAGTCGTGCTTGATTGACAAAAAGAGATGAAGAATCCTTCGTCATTATTGATGCTTTCATCTCCAGTACTCAAGGTCATAGTTCAGAAAAATAAATTGGAAGTTGACGCCTTCGATCTCAAACGTTTACGTGACAATAATACTAGAAACAACCAAATATAGTGAGGCAACTTGGTTGTGTATTATCGTGAAATTTCTCCCTTTCGGAAACAAGTGACAAGTTCGATATGAAGGTGAACAATGAAAAAAAGACAACGAAGGAAACAGGCGAAAAACACGAGATGTTTATAGAAATAAAAAAAGAAACTTTATCTACAATATAAACAAAAGTTAGATGTAGACGAAAAAGAATGATACATGAATCGCACTAATAATGAGTTTTAGCGCTATAAGAATTTTCCCAGCCATTTAATATCAAATATATAATAAAGTGATTTCTTTAACTATAAACGGAACGAAAAGTGTTATTCAGATATCTTTGTTTTAGGTGATGTCTTTTTATTAAAAAAAAAGTTTCAAACGTCCACTACCGAGTATATAAAAATACATACAAAAATCAGATTTCTTAGTGAAGATTAGACTGCTCCGTTTTTCTGTGGTAGGCGGTTGTCTCATTGGCGAGGTCAACCTCTTCCTGCAGCGACTTATTAGTAAGTTGAAGGAGGAAGGGATGATGAAATCACTCATCGTTCTATCTAAAGGCACTCTTCAAAGCCCGCTACCGAAATACTACCGGAAGGTCACCTCGATCTATTATGAGCATCTCAAAGCCGTGGTTAAACGCAATCGAGTCAATTTGCCTACGCACGCCAAGAACATAAACGGGAAAAAATAAACAGATCAGTTAACTTTTCTTTCCTTTTCCCCACTACTATACAAAAATCAACATTAAAACAGACGATAATTAAAACGTCTGCAAGAAAAAAATCATTAAACTAGCAGACAACACATCTGCTGATATTGTGAAACTTGTATACATGATTTTTTTTTAATTTTAAAATAAAATACAGCATATCTACAAAATAAGTGATTATACGTAAATATAACAAAACGCTTATTCTTATTATTTCTATTTTAATTTCCAACACATATGGTGAGATATTCTCCAGTCTTTCAACTATCAACACTTAATACTGTTTCTCGAGAATTGGCTGGTTTCAGAGAGGCCTGTTTTCACTTAAGAAGAAAGAGCACGTTGACATTCACGATGGAAGAAACTCTCTTGTCGAGGCAAGTGTCAGGCTTCTCCGTTACCTCAGTCGCCTCTGCAGAAATTCAGAAAGGTTTTCTTTGCAGCTTTCATCAAGAATCTCTAGTTATCATCCTCTCGTATACATTCCTGTTGTGGTGTCCTCCCACTAAAGAGTCTATGTTGGACTCTTCCGCCTACTATAAGATTAGTAGGAGAGAAGGCCTTAGGGGAACAGTCGAATAGATTGAACTCTGGTTCATCCGATACACACTCACTAGTCGTGTAATAATCTTCTGTTGTACTTACAGTTTCATATATGATATCTCTGTAACACGTGTTTTGTTATTTCTTTAACCATTTACTTGGTTCGCGACAATTCGTATCCACAAGATTGAATCACCCACATTTTTCCGTATTCCCTTGGTAAGAAGGAAGATCGACTCAGAGATCTTTTCAAAAAACCCCGCTAGATTGAGGAACAAACTCCTTCACGAACTCTACGATCTTTGTAGTCAATCCTTTTCTACCCTGCACATACCCAGAACACTAGGGAATACTTGTTTTATTAAGTGGTATTTGACGCGTGATTCTAGGTAATTTGACTGTGCTGAATACGAATTTCAAATCGGTTTGACTCTATCAGGTCCCGATTGTTGTTAACTGCCTACTTGCCTTTTACCAGATTTTTAAAGTTAGAACTAAATTCTTTTTTACGAACTCAGTTATAGGGGAAGCATACTCCCTGGAGTTAATTACACACTTCAGCAGATCGATTGGAGTGAGCAAACGCATTTACCACAGCAGGTTTTGGATGATTTTTAACTGAGAAACAGTCGAACAATGAAAACTTTGCCATTATTAGTTATATCGATTTGTCAGGAATGTGACTTCTTTTTTGTTATCGGCCTGGGGAGACGTTTACAGCGTGTGACACTTCTGGAAAGTGTAGGAAAACCACACCACGAGTTATCCCATTAATTGAAATTAGGTTGACAGAAAAATTTGGAAGGCTTCGATGGTTGTGCTAAAACGTAGTAACAAGTCATCGTGACCGATGCTGTGAGTGTACTAGCCTTGTTCAGACTGTTGATCACACCAGATAATGCATTCACTCCCAGATACACTAACAAAACACCACTCAATATAGTTACATAAACCAGTGCTAGGCTCTGCGTGTGTTGAATAAACTGAAATGTGCCTGAGCAGTCGTCTGCAGTAGGGATAGGCTAGCCGCCTTAGTAGAGAGGCATACTCGGATACAAGCGGACAGTCATTATCTATCTGTCTCTAGATATAAGGTTATAAGGCATGGAAGCTTACAACTTATTTTCAAAAAAAGAGGATATATTTTGCTTCTGAAACAAAATTAATCGTTCACTTGTCAGTAATTCGCCTGAGGAGACGTAATGATATGCGTTGAAACACGACTGCAATTGTGTAGCCATTTTTATATGTTGTTTTAACCTATAAACTGCCATGAGCCCCATTTGGAGATCTGTTAAAATTAAACTCACTACATGTTATTCCTTGTATTTACATTGAATTGCTTACATACATTGCATTTGCAGAGGTATATTTTACAACACTTCGCCTTTAAAGTTTTTATTATTAGCCGTAAGGAAACACTTTCTGTCGTAATTTTACATTTCACGAGTAGAAAAATAATGACTATTTTGAAAAATATTTTTTTATTATTTATAATCAATATTATTTTTTGATGTTTTATACACATATATATTTGATATTGTAGTTTCTATAAAAATGACAATGGTAACTATTGAAATTAAAAATAAGTAATAAATGTGCTTTATATACTGATCCCCATTTGGGAACAATGGCGTGAAGGCATTGCAAAAATCTCTGTACTAGTTCACAACGAGACAATTTATTTACTGTTATTTTTCTATAGGTTTTGCAATATTACTGTTTGTGTGTTATAAGATCAATGTTTTAATTGAATTATTTATCTTTTCAGACCCTTTCATGATGAAGAAAAGTAAATTTCTAACTCTAGATGAAATAAATGATCTATTGAATGATCCTGATTTTGCAAATGAAATTCCTGATGATAATTCACCAATAGATGTTGTGGCACTTCCTCTTGATAATTTATGTGTAGTTTCTGATGAAGATGGCATTGATCAAGATTAACTTAGTGATAGTTTGCCAAATGATGTGCCTGGATCTTTAGAATTACACTCAAATTGTACAGAGGATGCAGGAGAATGTTCAACATCAAGAGTTCAAGTTCAACCTGCAGCTAAACGTCGAAAATGCAAAACGAAATCAACACCAACTTGGAATACATCACGAAGAGATTTTCATATTGAACGAGGAAATTCTGATGCAATAAATATCAGAATCGCCAATATAGAAACGTATTTCAAGGATAAATCTCCTGTAGAGGCATTTGAGTCTATTTTTGATGAAGAGATGTCATAACTGATATTGTAAGACAAAGTGTCATGTATGATGCTCAAAATAATCACCGCAACTTCGCATTCACAAGTGATTGCTTGCGAAAATTTGTTGGATTTCTTCTACTAACAGGATAGCATCACTTGCTTCATGAACAAATGTATTAGTGGGAGGATAAAGATGGGAAACTTCCATTTGTTCGTAAATGTATGTCACGCAATAGATACATTGAAATGAAACGGTATTTGCATTTCAATGACAACTCTACACTTGAAACTGAAGCAATTCCTAAAACCATAAAGATAGCATCGTTATATAAAATATGAATGAAAGATTCGTAAAGTTTGGCGTTTTTGCAAAGCAACTCCGCATCGATGAACAAATGGTGCAGTATTACGGTCACCATAGTTTGAAACAATTTATAAGAGGCAAGCCGATAAGATTTCCATGCAAGAACTGGGCAATATGCTGCCCTAAAACAGGTTACTGTTTTCATGTTGATTTGTATGAAGGAAAGAAAGAAGGACATGATTTACAGTTTGGCTTAGGTACTGCAATGGTTTTAAATACAGTCTCACAATTTCATACTTCTTCAAACCACGTATTGTACTTTGATAATTTTTTTTACAAGTTTTGAGTTACTAAAAATACAGAGAAAGTTGTTTCAGCTTCAGGAAATGTAAGGAGTAATCGTACAAATAAATGCCCACTTGTTTCTGATAACGAATTGAAGAGCAAAGCTAGAAGATTTTATGATTGCAGACTCGATTCAGAGAACAAAATATTTGCCATTATTTGGAAAGAGAACAAAAATGTAAGAATGCTGTCAAGCTTTCAGGGTGCACTACTACATATAAGTGTAAAACGGTGGAATAGAGAAATGAACAAGAAAGTAAATGTGCCACAGCCCAAATGCATACCTTTTCTGCCATGATCCCCATTTAGGGGCTTTTTGAAAAATTAGCTATAATTTTCAAAGTACCAGCAATTCGAAGAAAATTTTAATATTGTATATTGTCTTAGCTCCTAAGAGCCCTGTTTGGCCCAAAAATGCGCATTAAAAAATATTTGGCAGTTAATGGGTTAATGTCCTAAAATAAATATTGTTCTACTTTGTATTGAGACCTTATTTAAATTAAATGTATGAACGTTGGAATTACACTCTATTCAGTCTCATCTTACTTATATATATATATATATATATATATATATATATATATATATATATATATATATATAAAGACATTTTTTGTTTATACGTTCTTTTTATAGATACAAATATTTAAGTAAAAGCTCTGTTTATAATAAACTTAAATATTTGTATCAATAAAAAGAACGTATAAACATAAAAAAATGTCTTAAAATAATTGACGGACTTTGTCCATTATATATATATATATATATATATATATATTGTTTTATAAAATATGTTTTCCTTCATTCCGTATTGTCTACATATGGGCGTCCTTTATGGGTCACTTTTCGGACCAACTCTCTTTCTGATTTACATAAATGATATACCGAATGATATACTTCGGTCTTTTGTGAACGTCAATGCCGATGATAGGACGATACGTGGGTGCACCTCCAAAACTCTTGACGATAAGAGATTGGCAGCTGACCTCTCTTCCGATCTAATACTAACTTTCCAGTGTGGAAAAAACTGGCTCGTTATATTCAGTGCCTCTAAAATCAAACTTGTTACAGTCCTCCACCGGTGATCAAACCCGGAACTACCGCCAGTCACAATGAACGAATGTCTCCTCGAGGTGACCCCTGTACATTGATATTGGGCCTCAACCTCACACACCTGACCTCAAGTGAAACTCATTGCTAAAGATGCTGGTGAAATGGTCGGCTCCCTGTACCGCTCCAGTAAGTACCTGACACTTCATCCTATCCTCTACGTTCGTAAAAGCCAGATCAAGACATAAATTGAGGACTATTGCCATTTGGGGGGTAGGAGCTGTTCAGTCCTCGCTTTCCAGACTTCAAAAGCGTTTCGGGGTCCTTGTAGAAAAATAATTTTCCACCCACCAATCTCTCTCTCGCTAGATGTGGCGAGTCTTTCACTGCTCTACCGTTAACACCATGGAAAGTGCTCGAAAGAACTGCATTTCCTACTTCCAGCGCGCCTGACCTTCACGGCTAGGACACGCCATGCAACATACACTGTAGTAAACCACCCACATTCCCTCCGTATTCCATCGGTGAGAATTAAGTTC